CTGGGCGATGTTGACGATGGACGGGACAGGACGGCCTGGGCGGTGTCGATGATGGGCGGGGACAGGACGGCCTGGGCGGTGTCGATGATGGGCGGGACAGGACGGCCTGGGCGATGTTGACGATGGACGGGGACAGGACGGCCTGGGCGGTGTCGATGATGGGCGGGGACAGGACGGCCTGGGCGGTGTCGATGATGGGCGGGACAGGACGGCCTGGGCGATGTTGACGATGGACGGGACAGGACGGCCTGGGCGGTGTCGATGATGGGCGGGGACAGGACGGCCTGGGCGGTGTCGATGATGGGCGGGGACAGGACGGCCTGGGCGGTGTCGATGATGGGCGGGGACAGGACGGCCTGGGCAGTGTCGATGATGGACGGGACAGGACGGCCTGGGCAATGTCGATGATGGGCGGGGACAGGACGGCCTGGGCGGTGTCGATGATGGGCGGGGACAGGACGGCCTGGGCGGTGTCGATGATGGACGGGACAGGACGGCCTGGGCGGTGTCGATGATGGGCGGGACAGGACGGCCTGGGCGGTGTCGATGATGGGCGGGACAGGACGGCCTGGGCAATGTCGATGATGGGCGGGGACAGGACGGCCTGGGCGGTGTCGATGATGGGCGGGGACAGGACGGCCTGGGCGATGTTGACGATGGACGGGACAGGACGGCCTGGGCGGTGTCGATGATGGGCGGGGACAGGACGGCCTGGGCGGTGTCGATGATGGGCGGGACAGGACGGCCTGGGCGGTGTCGATGATGGGCGGGACAGGACGGCCTGGGCGGTGTCGATGATGGACGGGGACAGGACGGCCTGGGCGGTGTCGATGATGGGCGGGGACAGGACGGCCTGGGCGGTGTCGATGATGGGCGGGGACAGGACGGCCTGGGCAGTGTCGATGATGGACGGGACAGGACGGCCTGGGCGGTGTCGATGATGGGCGGGACAGGACGGCCTGGGCAGTGTCGATGATGGACGGGACAGGACGGCCTGGGCGGTGTCGATGATGGGCGGGACAGGACGGCCTGGGCAGTGTCGATGATGGACGGGGACAGGACGGCCTGGGCAATGTCGATGATGGGCGGGGACAGGACGGCCTGGGCGGTGTCGATGATGGGCGGGGACAGGACGGCCTGGGCGGTGTCGATGATGGACGGGACAGGACGGCCTGGGCGGTGTCGATGATGGGCGGGACAGGACGGCCTGGGCGGTGTCGATGATGGGCGGGGACAGGACGGCCTGGGCGGTGTCGATGATGGGCGGGACAGGACGGCCTGGGCGGTGTTGACGATGGACGGGACAGGCAGGGCGCACGGCCAGGGCTGCGGGCGTCTGGGAGAGGCAACCTCTCAGAATGGGCAGCGGCCACTCACCCCCTGCGGGGAGCGTCAGTCCCAGGAGACCGCCCGATTCTCCCATCTCACAGGCGGGCACTCGGGGTGGAAGGAGGCTCGGCTAAGGTCACACCAGTGAGAGGCACTGGCAGCGGGGCCCAGACAGAGCTGCCTGAGCCCTCAGCCCCGGGCTGTCCCACCGCCGCCAGGATCCCTGAGCTGGGCTGGGGTGGCAGGGGGCAGCAGGGGGCAGCAGGGGGCGGCTGGGGATGGCTGACAAGTTCTCGGCTGTTCCCGGCAGGTTTCGCGGCTCGTCCTGCGTCCTGGACGTTCCCAAGTGAAGCCGGTGTTTGAACCACAATCCCACCTGGGACACGCAGGGCCAGGGGAAAGAGAATCGGATCAAGGGTCCCGTCTCCCCTAGCCTGCCCTCACGGGAACGCAGACCCTGGAGGATGCCCGGCCACAGGCGGGGAGCGGGGTACTGGCGTGCCCCCAGCCCACCCGGCTCGCTGGTCAGTCGTTTAAATCTCTTGGGTACCTGGAGGCGGCCCCTGGACGGCTTTAAAGGGTTTCCTCGAGACCAGGGCCGGGAGAGCAGGTGGCTCTGAGCTTCCAATCTGTGACTTTTATCAAGGGGGGGGGGGATCGGGCTGGGGAAGGGGCGGGGTGACACCAGGGTCACCCGAGGCCGGCCCTGGCCCACGCCACCCCACGGAGCGCGCTCTGCGGACGCCGCGGAGGCCGGCGTGTCTTTAAACGCAGGGAGCGGCCTGCTCTCGGCACTGAGCAGAGCAGTACAGCTCCCTTGGAAAGCCAGTCCCTCTCCGGCTCACCGCCTCTCAGGTTAATTAATTAGTTCATTTCAAAAAGCACAGAAAGGGTGGGCGTTCTGCCTAGTGGTTCACATGGCTGCACTCCACATCCAAGTGCCTGGGTTCAACTCCCAGCTCCGCTCCCGACGCTGGCTTCCTGCTGTGTAGACCCAGGGGGGCAGCAGGTGGTAGCTCAAGAACCCGGGTCCCTGCCGCCCACACAGCAGACCCAGCCCTGGGCTTCGGCTTGGCCCAGTCCCAGCTGCTGCGCGCATCTGGGGAGTGAACCAGCAGGTGGCAGGTGCCTGTCTCCCTGCCTCTCAAAAATTTTTTAAAGATGTATTTCTTTATTTGATAGGCAGAGTTACAGAGTGGAAGGAGAGAGGGGGAGAGAGGGAGAGAGAGGGAGAGGGAGAGAGGGAGAGAGGGAGAGAGGAAGGGGGGGGGGAGAGAGAGAGACTTCCATCTGCTGGTTCACTCCCCAGATAGCTGCCAACAGCCGGAGCTGCACCAATCAGAAGCCAGGATCTTCTTCCGGGTCTCCCACGCGGATACAGGGCCCCAAGCACCTGGCCCATCCTCCACTGCTTTCCCAGGCCACAGCAGAGAGCTGGATGGGAAGTGGAGCAGCCGGGACTCGAACCATATGGGATACCGGCACCACAGGTGGCAGCTTTACCTGCTACGCCACAGCACCGGCCCCTAAATTTTTTTTCTTAATCAAAGAGCAAGAGACAACTAGAAAATAACTCTCCATGATCCGGACATCAATTCTGGAACATTCTAGAGCATCTGTCCTTGCCACCTGAGAGATCGGACCAGCCTTCGGCAACCAAGGCTCTTGGCACAGGCCCAGGCTCCCGGCCCACAAGGCCACACTCACTGGTGCCCACTGCCGCCCCTCTCTCCCCATCCTCCACTTCCCCTGTGGCCACCCGGGGCCTCTGCAGCTGCCCCCTACCCGACATGGTCCTCCCCCAGGTCTGCACAAAGCGGCCTCCGCTCACCCAAGGACACCACCTCAGGGAGGCCTTCCAGGACTCCCCCCGAGTGGCCACCTCCATAAGCGTCCGGTTGATCCCCAAAGATGGCTCCTGCTCTCTCCAGCAGTCCCCACTGCCCCGGGAGTTCCTGTGCACCCACAGCCTCCCCGTGTCACCCTGTGCCTGGGCAGGCTGCACCCTCCATCCCTGCAGTCACCCACTGCCTGCGCCTGTTTCCTGTGCGTGCTGAGAGGAGGAGGCTGCAGATGGCAGAGCCCACATGCCGGCACCCCTCAGCCGCCGGCACCCCTCAGCCTCCGCCGGCTCCACGCTCTCCCACAGGGAGCCCTGCCCTGCACGGCACTCCACAGTTTATAACACCCGACCCCATCTTCCCTCCCAGGAGAGCCTCTAGGGGCAGGCAAGACCGGGCGGGGGCGCAGCCCCCTGCTAGTGCAGCCGGGAGAGCAGCGGAGGACACCCCAATGCCCGAGCCCTGGCTACCCACGTGGGAGACCCGGATGGAGCTCCTGGCTCCTGGCGGGGGCCTGGCCAGCCCTGGCTGCTGTGTGGCTACCTGCACGGTGAAACTCTCTCCAGCCCCCCCCACACACACCTTTCAAATAGAAAAATAAATCGTTTTAAAGAAGTCAACGAGGCTAAGGCCCAGAGGGATCACGTGGCTGCCACGCCAGCCAGGCTGGAAGAGGCCCGGGATCCCAGCCCGGACGTCCACACCCTTAATTCTGATCAGAGAGAACAGAGAGGCAAAAGGGAGAGGGGCGAGAGGGGGCTCTGGGATCCGCTGCCCAGGTCTGGGTCCCTGCGTGAAGGAGCCACACCCGGCAGGTGCTCAGGGCTCAGGAAACACAGCTCCAGGGAAAGCCACGCCCAGCCAGGCCTGCGGCTGAGGGCACGGCGGAACCAGCTGCCAGGGCCCCGCACGCCACGCCGCCAGCCGGGACACGAGGGGCTGCCCAAGCCCCAGGCCCCAGCCAAGCCGACGTCGGCACAAACACTTGCAGGCAGCAAAGGGAGAGGCCCTTGCCGAGTTCATGATTTCCACCCGGGACAACCCAGCAGACAAGAAAAAAAAATCAGCCTCACAAGTGCCGGAACGCTGCAGCCACGAGCCCGCCCCCTCCGCCGCCGTGCGTCACTGTTTCCTTGCGCCAACTCGCGACTCCTCCCAGGAAACCATGGGCAGGGACCCCGCAGCCCAGGGACCCCCGCCCCACGCAGTGCCGTCCCGGGGTCGGGGCACAGGAACCTGAGTTGTCCTTGTTTCCAGCGGGGACTCCAACAGGACCCTCCCGAGACTCGCTGGGTGACACCCGCCGAATGCCCGGGAAACACACGCCACGCAGCCGGGTGGGGGCCGCCCCAGGCGCAGGGCCCCACCCACCCCGGCCTCCGCACGCTGCAGCCCTGTGGGGCCCTGGATGTGAACTCCCCGTTTGAAAAATCGACATTTATGGTGCTGAGCCACCTGCGGGGGGGACGCCCCCAGCAGGCACCCACGCCCCCATGACCGCCGTGGGCCTGCGCCCGCTGTGAGCCCCGCCAGGCAGCTTTTCCCAGGGCACCCCTGGCTTCCTTCTGATTTGGGGGAGGGGAACACAGACAAAACCCTAGGGGTGTGCGGGTGGCTAAAGCCCCCCCACCGTCTCCGGGGAACAGTAAGCCACTGCCTGTGCCAGCTCTGCCCACCAGAGCAGGCCCCACCGGGGGCCGCGGAGGCTGGGGTGCCCCTCCCTGCGGAAGCCCAGCACCCACCCCGGCACCGCCATTCAGGAAGTCACCCACACACCCACTCAGCAGCTGCAGGCGCCCACCTGGGCACACGCGGGCGGCACAGCCCTGAGCCAAGCCCCAGGTCCTACACTCCCACCAACGGGCAGTCACGGCCGCAGCAGGCGGTGCCAGGGTGTGCGGGGCGGGGGATGGGGCCCGGGGCGGGGGGACAGGAGAGAGGGGTCACGTCCTGGTCTGACCGGGGAAGGCTCCTCAGGCAGGTGCAGACAAAGGCCCAAGAGACGGCTTCGTGGGCAGAGAGGAGAGACCGCCAGGCCGAAGGGGCAGCCTGCACGGGGCCCTGGCAGCTGGGACCATTCACTTCCCGGGGGCACGTGTGGCCCGGGTTGGCGGGACCAGTGGGCAGGACCCACCACTTCCTGGCACAGGCGGCCCAGGGCAGGTAAGACCTATCGCTTCCTGGGCCACACCCAGCCCCGGGCAAATGCAACTTATCACATCCCGGGCGGGCGGGACCTTGGCAGGCACAACCTATCTCGTCCTGGGGCACGCACAGCCTGGGTGGGCGGGACCTACCGAGCCACTCGTTGAACTTCTTCACCTCGCTCGGCAGCCCCAGCTCGGTGAAGTCGCCGGCGTGGATCAGCACGTCGCCATACGGCATCTGGATGGGGTCCGTCCTCGAGTGGGTGTCGGAAACACAGACGAAGCGGGTGTAGCCTGGCGGCTTGGGAGCATCGTGAGGCACCGGGTCCACCCTGCGGGGAGAGAAGTCCCTGTGGGCCACGGGGTCACAGCGCACCCTGGGGTGCTACCAGAGCTTAGGACGCCCGGCCCCATCAACCCAGATCACATCCAACCCAACAGGGGCCGCCTGGGTCTGAACCCAGGAATCTGAACCTGGAATCTGAGGTCCCGGCTCTGCCGCTCACCGCCGGGCCTGGGTCTGAACCCAGACTGCACACTCACCAGGCAAAACACAGCCTGTTCCCACAGCCAAAGTCCCCCCCCCCCATCCCCAACATGGGAACCTTAGAGAGCTGCGAAGGTCAAGGGGATGATGAGCAAAAGGGCTGGCGCAGGGAGCACCACTGTGTGGACGTGCGGTGGCACCGTCACCCCAGCCTCTCGACAACGCGACGCCGCCCGACCCCTTTCGCCGAGAGCCCAAGAATGAGTCGTCTCCTACTCCGACCACCCCGCGGGGGAAGCACGGACTCAAGTCCACGGTCAGTCACCAGGACCAGCCCGGCACTGCGGGGCAGGTGGCACTCAGAACCACGCAATGCTCTGGGCGTCTGCGGCCGGGGCCCGCGGGGGTGGTGCCAGGGAACAGCTGGAATCTGAGGTCCCGGCTCTGCCGCTCACCGCCGGGCCTGCGTTTGCCCATCTGGAAAACGGAGCCGCTTCCCCAAGCAAGGGGACCCGGAAAATTCCGAGGGGGCACAGGCAGGTCGCAGCCCTCCTGTCCCACGGCCCGGCTCCCGCTGCCCCCCAGCCACGCGCCCCGCAGGGCCCCAAACCCGGAAGCAGCAGGCGATGACATTTCCACGAGCGGCCCCTCCGGCTGAGCACGCACTGGAGGAGTTTTTGTGTTCAAATCTAATTATGCGGCAAACCGAGAGCCGGGCGTATCAGTTACATAAATACTTTTAAAGACATCTTTCTAATTATCCTTTTTTTTTCAGACAATATACTCCGAAGAAATTTAATTAACACCTTATGAGAGCCACGGGTTCGGCATGCTAATGCGCAGACGTATGAGGGCACTGCGCCCGCCCACCTCACCCCGAGCTGCGGCGGGAGGGGCGCCCGGCCCAGCCCTGGCCCTGGGTGGCGGAGCCAGGGCGCACCCAGCAGGTGACAGCTGGCCGGGCTGAGGGACGGTCCCCCAGGAAGGCGCAGCGCCGTCCACGTCTTCGCCCCACACGGCTGACTCCTGCTCACCACCTGCCCTGAGCTGAACCAGGCCTGACGGCCGTGCGCCAGGGCCATGGACTGTGGCCGGCCGTGCCCACCCTGGGGGCTTTGGGAAGCCTCTGGAGGAGGCAGCGTCTGACTGTGGTGGGGGCTGGACTCTCCCTCCCCGCGAGTCCCCAGCTCCTGTCCTCTGGGCCCCCCTCCTCCACCAGTCTGCAGGCAGCTAGCTGTGGCTCCACCCACAGCCCCGCCCACCCCATACAGCAGACTGGGCCAAGGGCAGCCAATCAAGACAGGCAGCAGGTAAAGCCATCACCTCGGTGCCAGCATCCCACATGGGCACCGGTTCAAGTCCCGGCTGCTCCACTTCTGACCCAGCTCTCTGCTGTGGCCTGGGAAAGCAGTGGAAGACGGCCCAAGTCCCTGGGCCCCTGCACCCACGTGGGAGACCCTGAGGAAGTTCCCGGCTTGGGATTGGCCCAGCTCTAGCCATTGTGGCCATTTGGGGAATGAACCAACAGATGGAAGATCTCTCTCTCTCTCTCCTCTCTCTGCCTTTCAGATAAATAAATCTTCAAAAATAAAAAAATAAAAAAAAGGCAAGCCTGGGCTATTGGCTGACACGGGCACAAGTAAGCCAACACTCACTCATCTTCCCCCTCCCCCCCCCCGCTCTCCCTCTCCCCCAGGTGAAGACCCCACCAGGAGGCAAAGACCAAGCCACAGAGACAAAGAAGGAAGAGACGGGGGCGGGGGCGATGGCAGCCCTGCAGCCCTGGGGCCCCAGCCCCTCTCCTCCCGAGAGCCCAGCTCAGCAGAGCAGCCCCGAGCCGCCTCAGCTTACCCCCCACCCCTGCCGCCAGCTCCGTGCTGAGCCGAGTGCCGAGCGGACGCTGAGGGCTCTCGCGCTGGGCCTGCTGCTGGAGCCAGAGCTCTTAATTAACTCTGCTCTGATTCCCTACGCCCGGAGGCCTCAGAGCTCGGAGAAGGCAAACCCAGCGATCCCCGAGGAGAAACGGAGACTCCACTTCCCTGCGCAGTCGCTGGCTGTGTGGATGCAGCACGCACTCACCCCTGCAATCCTGGCCCCACCGCCGGGGAGGCCCCTGCGGGGCGGGAGCTCAGCGCGTGGTGAGCACTCAGGTGCACCTGCCCTGCCCAGCCTCCCGATGACGTCGGAGCCAGGCACCTGCCCTGCCCTGCAGGTGGGACCCGAGGCTCGGAGCGGCCTAACTCGATGCGGAGTTTGCAGCCAGTTCTTTTCCGGAAGTCACAACAGCTGCGGCTTCCAGGCCCACTTCATCTCACCGTCCATCTACAGACAGACGCTTATCCGGGGACTCCTAAAACACCGTTCACCTGCTGGGCGGGAGGGGCACACCCGTGAACAGGACGCCACGGAGCTCAGCGGCGTGGGGCGCCCAGAAGCCCAGCGCAGAGCCCAGACCCGGAGACAGTCTGTGAGAGGGGGCGTTCGAACCACAGGTGTGGCTGCGCCCAGGTCAGACCCACACGTGAACGGCGGCCCTGCCTCTGCCTCTCAAAGGCACCTGAGCACGCCGACGGGTGCGGGGATCTAACCCCTGTTAACGACGGTGTAACAGGTGCGGGGGTCTAACCCCGCTGGGGGCCCGCCCTGCACCCTAACGGGTCAAACCACTGCTCGCTACGCCATCAGCATCCCATATGGGACTGGCTCGTGTCCCGGCTGCTCCACTTCCAGTCCAGCTCCCTGCTAATGCCCCTGGGGGAGGGCAGTAAAAGATGGCACAAGTGCTTGGGCCCTGCATCCACGCGGGAGACCAGGAGGAAGCTCCTGACTTCAGCCGGCCCAGCCCCGGCCATCGCGGCCATGTGGGGAGTGAAGCAGCGGATGCAAGATGTCTCTTTGCCTCTCCCTCTCTCGCTCTGTAATTCTGACTTTCAAAAAAATATATATATAATAAAATATATATAATAAACAAATGAATAGCTGAAGCCTGGAAAAGGCTCGAGCTGGTCAGCTCAAGAGTGAGTGTGAGGGGCCGGCGCTGTGGCATAGCGGGTAAAGCTGCTGCCTGCAGTGCTGGCATCCCATATGGGCGCCGGTTCAAGTCCCGGCTGCTCCACTTCCAACCCAGCTCTCCGCTATGCCCTGGGAAAGCAGTGGAAGATGGCCCAGGTGCTTGGGCCCCTGCACCCACGTGGGAGACCTGGAGGAAGCTCCGGGCTCCTGGCTTCAGATCAGCTCAGCTCCAGCCATTGTGGCCATCTGGGGGGTGAACCAACGGATGGAAAACCTCTCTCTCTCTCTCTCTCTCTCTCTGTTTCTCCCTCTCTCTGCCTCTCTGTAACTCTGCCTTTCAAATAAAAAAAAATTTAAAAAGAGGGTGAATGTGAGCCCAGGTCTTCATGAGCGGAACTTGGGCCCGGAGCTCCACACCCCGTGCCGAGCAGCATGGTTGCTTCCCGGTGGCATCCTGCAGGTGCCACGAACGCTCCGTGCCCGCTTGCTAGGGTGACTAAAGCACCCGACCCCACATGGGTCCCCATGCCCTCACTGCCTTCACCAGGGTTTGGGCAAAGTTCTGTTTCAAAGCCGGGCCCTGGCCAAACCCCCAGAGGCCTCTGAGCCACCTGCAGAGGGACAGCGTAGAGCAGTTTGGGAGGCGGGGCCGACCAGGTATGGAGCCACCTACCCGCCTACACAGGAGAGCTGCTGGGCTCTGTCCCCGGGCACTGTGGCTGTGTGGAGCCCACATGAGGAGGGCACGCTCCCCCACGCCAACTGGCACGCAAGCCCACTGCGGGCAGGCAGGCATCTCTGCTCACTGCCATGTCCCCAGCACCCAGCCCAGCCGGGTGCGGGCTCGCAACATGGAAGGCTCACCGTCCACCTGCCCCCTGACCAGAGCCCTGGCCCCTCGGAGAGAGCAGAGCCCGCCCACGGGCCCTGCGGATGAACGCTGCCTGCAGACCTCAGCCCCAGGCAGGCCGCCAGGCTGTGTGCGGACAGAGCCCCGGGCTGTGGTTCAAGCTTCTATGAGCCGCAGAGGGCCTCCTGACCAGCCTGGGCCCTCTGCTCCCCAGGTAAGGCCTACAGGAGGTGGCGCCCGGGGATAAAGGAGGAGGGTCCCGTGGCAGCCAGCGGTCGCCCAGGGCTCAGCCCTCCTCCACCCCTGCCCCCGGGGCCTCAGGGGAGACCCAGGGGGGAGGAGTAGGGGTCAGCCGTGGGCAGCAGTGAGGACAAGCCCTTGGCGCTGCTGTGAGGGGGGTGCCCTGCCCAGGTGTCCCCAGCCCTCGGGTACCCCTGCACCTGCCAGCAGAGCCCTAGGGGGCAGGAGACCCTTCCCCACTGCCAAGTCCTTTCGGAAGAACATCACTGACAAGCAGAGGGGGCAGCAAAGGGGAGACCACCACCCCCAGACTGGGTCCCAAAGGCCCCAGGCCTGCAGTAGGTCCCCTCCTCTCTCTGGGACCCAGTCCTCCCCCCAACACCGAGGGAAGTCCATCCGACCAAGGGTCACAGCCGGGGAAAGCTGAACTCAACCCCTCAAAGCCGCCCCAGAGCTGTGGGCCCAGGCAGACAGCACTTCGGCCTCGTCGTCTGGATTTGCACGTGCGTGTGTGCGTGCACGCGCCTGTCACCTCGTGTCGACGTCTCTGCAACGCCTTCCCTTGGCCAAGGAGCAGGACTAGGGCTGCCCAGCTTTGCCAGTCCGGGAGCAGGGAACACGCCGGAAGCCAGGGGCCCCTCCCCCACCCGGGGCTGTGGCGGCCCGCCCCCTTCCCCCCCCCCCCCGCCCACACTTACATCTGCACGTGCGGAGGCTGGAAGCGGCCCTGGTTGATGTTGTAGAAGGTGAAGGCCTGGGTGGGGTTGGAGCTGTACTCGTCCACCTCCACGAGGAGCCGGCTGTGCTGGTGTCGCCGGGCGGCCATCACGTGCGACTGGGAGAAGGCCATGCCCAGGCCGCAGGGGAGGAGGGCCAGGGCCTCGGCCTTCAGGACGCCAGCATCCCACCTAGAGTGCCACATGGACCTGGGCGGGCCGCCCGGGCATCGCCCACCGCCGCCGCCGCCGCCGCCGCCTCCGCCCGGCCCCCCGCCAGACCTGCAAACAGCCTGGGGAGACGGAGCAGAACCGAGCGACAGTTAATCTGTTTGGGATTTGCTTTATTTAATGTCAGATGAAGATTTAGAAAGAGGGAGAGGGCGGGGGCCGGGGGGGGGGAGAAAAAAAACCACAGTCGTACAGCTCAAAAACTCATTACAAATCTTTCCAACTCAGCAGTTTGATGAATATACTTTGGTAAAAAGAAAGGGGAAGGGAGGGAGGGGACAGGGAGAAAAAATCATAAAAAGCCCGCCCGCCCGCCCGGCTGCACGCGGGGCCGGCACGTGGGAATCTCTTCGTCTGCTCTCGCACCTCCCCCAAGATCCCCCTGCCCCACACGGCCAGGCTACGCGGCTGTTGTGTCAACAGGCTCACTTGTACTTTCCCGAGCTGGAGGGTCGGGGGAAGGTTCCCCTCCAGCCCCACCCCTCCCCGCGGACCCCCACGCACACCCCTGCAAGCCTGAGCAGGTGCAGTGGGCGCGGCCGAGAATTCCTTCCTCGACTTCGGCAAAAGCCGACAGAGATCCGGAAGGGACTTCCCCACATGCCTGCCTCCTACGCCCGAGGCCCCTTGGCCGGCGGCTCGGCGGACCTGGCTCAGCCGGCCCTGGGAAGGCAGGGACGCGGCTCTCACCTCTCCCGCTGGGGAGAGCGGACCGCTCCTCTCCTCCCTGGATGGCAGTGCCCCTTGGCGCCTCACGGTCAGAGCGTCTTGGACACAGGCGTCGTGGGGGAGACCCCGCCCGACACCCTTCCGGCCCCACCCCAATCCCTTCCCTAAGGATTCTTTTTCAAGTGTGCGAGTCGGAAACGCCTTCAAGATTGTTTTGTGTGTGGTTGTGTTTTCAAGGTTTTGGTCATTAAGAGCTTCTGATGGTTCCATTTGCACTGGATTTAACCAAGGAGAAAATAATGTAATTTAAACTATTCCTGGACAGTCACAGCCCAGTCACGTTGAGCAAAGAAAAACCCCCTTTGCTTTGTGCTCGGAAGAAGAATCGACACAGTCAGAAAACAAATTAGATTAGGAAAATGACAAAAATTAGAGACTGGAGAACATTTTAATTATGTGCAAAGGAGAAATGGGTTATTAATTTTTTAAAAAATCTCCATCAACCCCATACAAGGTAAAATGCTCCCCGCCTGTCCCCGCCCCCAAAAACCACACCTGAATTCACAGCACATCCCTAAGGAGACAAAAATCTGCCTCTCCCCGGGCTTCGTCCTGGCAGTGGCTTCCAAGTGTATCCGAGTGGGGGCCCGTGAGTCACGGGGACTCCCAGAAGCCCCGGGGAGGCCACAGGGTGTGGGACACCAAAGGTTCTGCCTGCTGTGAGCCAGGCCTGCCGGGACCGGATGTGGGCTTGAGCCCCAGCACATCGCTGAGTGCCGGGTGACCTGAAGGCAACTCCTCAGCGTCCCTCCAAGCCTCGGCGTCCCTCCTGGAACATGGCTTCCACCCTGGCACGCCACCTGCCAAGGCGGGCATGCAAGAGAAATAAGGAAACAGAACGGTGGCAGGCACCGCGCACTCGGCCAACAGACGCCAGGACTGGGACGCTTCCTGCTGGTGCAGCACAGCCCCTGTGCACTGGGGGGCTGCCGCCTGCAGGTGCAGCGTGGGCCTCGGGGCACCAGATCCCGGGGCGCAGAGTACGGACCGAGGGGCCGGCTCCAAGAGCCGGCTGCATCTGCCAGAGCCCAGGAGAACTCAGAGTGTCCTCAATCGCAAGGTGATCACGCCGCCAACCTGCGGGAAACCCCTGTAAGACCCTCAGCCTGGAGGCCTGCACAGCCTGGCCCCACCCACACCCAGCACGTGGCCAGCCCCTGCACCTCGGGTCCATAGCCACACAGGGGGCCTCAGGGGGCCCTGTGTCCCGAGGGCGGAGCCTAGGTGTCCCTGACTCACTCGGCAGTATCAGCACCAGCTTCAGGCCTCTGAGTGAGTGGCTTAATTCCCAGAGCGCCTGTCCCCCCGTTTAAAAGATAGAAGAAAAAGCATCCCAGTGTCAGAGTGGAGAATGTGAGGAAACAGGTGCAGACCCGGAGCCCAGCCCCCGGCAGGCGCTCAGCGGATGCTGCCTCCCAGATCCCACCTACCCCCGAATAAACACCGAATCAGTGAACTGTGGAAGGGGGCAGGGAGACGGGTGACCGACGGATGGGTGGATGCAGACAGGGAGGGATGCAGGGACGATGAACCAGGGTGCGTCTGGCCAGACTCTGCGGTGCCCAGCACGGCCTCCACCAAGAGGACTCAGCTGAAGACTAAGTGGCTGCCGTCTCCCCTTCCCCAGGGGCTGCCAGGCTGGGCACAGCCGCGGGGCAAGGAGGGTCCCGCGCCCAGCCCTGCCCCCCGGGAAGCAGGTGCCAGCCTGCCCGCCGCACCAGGGGACTGTGCCGGAAGAGGCGGCGGCAAGGCGTCCCGGCGGCACTCCGCGGTGAAATGCCGCATTTCACATAAAGGGGGATCGCAACGGGCCCCGCGTGGAGAAACCAGGGAAGCCGGAAACGCAGAGCCTTCTTTTAATGCCCATTTAATATTTATGAAGCCGCAGCAGCACGTTAGCCACCGTGCGGGAATGCGAGAGCAGGAATCTGCTGCGGGGGGCGGGGCGGGGGCGGGGGGGCAGGGCTTCCCAAGCAAACAGCTTTCCCAGGGAGCACTGACATCTGCCCACCCACCACGCCGCGTCTGCCTGCCTGGACCCCGGGGCTCCCAGCCTGGCTCTGTGCAGCCTTGGGCAAGTCGGGCGCGCTGCTGGGGGCTGCAGGTGCCTGTCTGGGGGCTGGCACAAATGCCACGCAGCCTCACTGATTCCACAGACCCCTGCCGGGGCCTCAAGCAGCCGCCGCTCCAGGGGCCAGAAGAGCCATGGAAAAGCAGGCAGCCGGTCCCGGCCCTCGAGGAATGGGGGTGGGGGGACGGGCCAAGTAAACAGAAAAGACCTCTCAGGGGACGGACGCCGGGCACCAAAGATGTTTAGCGGAAACTGGAATGAAAAGGTATTTATTTCGGTGCAAAAAAAAGTTCTGTAAGGCACGCACACTTCATCAGAGGCCGGATCTTCCTTGGCCCCTGAAGACCCTGCGTATGTACCTGGAAGAGCGACGGGGTGACGGGGTGACGCGTGATGGGTGGGGCAGCGAAAGGACCTTACACCAGGCAGGCGAGAAAGACCCAAGTGAGGAGCTGACGTCACCTCACACCCACGAGCCGGGAGCTGCCAACCACACCCAGACCCGTGAAAGAGAACCCAGCAGAGGAAGCAGCAGGTGCAAAGGCCGGGAGACGGAGGCGGCCCTGACGCGAGGCGGCCGCGTGCTGTCTTTGCCCGTCGCTGGAGAGCTCTGGACTTGGCAGTCGGAGGAAGCGGGCTTCGATTCGGCTGTGGGTCGTGGGGCAAGTCTCTAAACCTCTCTGTTTCTGCTTCCTCGTTGGTGTGCTCCCCGGGTTACCCCAGGGATGGAAAGAAACTCACTCCAGCCTCTCCATAAACTGGGAAGCTCTGGATCCTCCTGGGCCAGAGAGGAACTCCATTTTCTCTTTATTTATTTATTTTGCTTTTTTGAAAGGCAGAGAGAGACAGACAGAGGAAATTCCCCCTTACCTGCTGTTTCTCTCCCCAGAGACCCAGGAGCCAAGAACTCAATCCAGGTCTCCCAGAGGGCACCCGGGTATGTGACCACCACTGCTGCCCCTTAGCAGGCAGCCGGAGTCAGAAACAGAGCAAGGCCAGGACTCAAACCCAGGCCCTTGGTGTGGGAGGCATCGGGGCCTCGGCGGCTCCGGCTACCCCGGACGCAGGCGCCGGCTCCTCTTCCAAGAGTTTGCTTTGCTGGTCTTACTCTTTCACAAGGTATTCACTGATTGGTCCCTGGGTGCTGGGGGCCGCCTCAGGCCCGAGTGCTCACGGGGGAGTCGGATGTGGCCACTGGACCCCAGCTGATGTCTAGGTAAGGCACGTGGCCCAAGGGTCCCGCCCCTCCGACCTGCCCCTCGGGCCGCTCACCGCCCACAGCACTCCAGCCTCCACAACTCACTCCTGGCCACACCACGCCTTGTGGCGCCCAAACCTCTTGGGAGTGCCCACTGCCCTCAGCTGAAGCCCAGCTCCTTGGGTGGGCTCGGGGCAGGGGGAGGTGGGGGGGGCTCGGGGGCGGGGGGAGAGTGGGGGGGAGGGGGGTGAGTGGAGCTGGGCCCCAGCCTCCTCTCCTCAGGTTGGCTCCAGCACGGCCAGGGTCGGGGGGCCTGCCGGGCACGAGGACCCCGACCTCGGGCTGCCCCACGGCTGCTCCTCTGCTCGAATGGCCCCGGCCGTCGCCCCACCTGCTTCTGGGCTCTCGCCCACTCCACCCAGGATGGCTCGTGGCCCTGGAGACGTCCTCCTCGACCCACCCACAGCCCCCTAGGGCTTCCCTCATCCGGGCGCCCAACACACAGCCAAGGGCAGAGACGCAGAACAAATGACGGGTGAGTGAACGAGGAACGGAAACAAAATGCCTGCGCGGGAACGGAGGAGCGGATGGACCGAGCTGCACCGCCTCTGAGCAGCGTCGCCTCCCTGGGAGGCAGCTTTGCTTTGCCAACAGGCAGACCCAGGAGCCTCCTCTCGGGGCCTCCGGGAGGGTCGGAGGACCCAGGAGGAACAGGGCCAGGCACACAGCAGGTGCTAACAAATTGTATCCCCCACTCCGGTTAGCAAGGTCTGCAAGGAACATTCCGGAACCAGGAGTTTCTCAGCTCCTGACTCGCCGGTGGTTTTACTCCTGGCGCGTGGTGCTGGCTTCCCAGGACAGGTCACCACCCCATCCTGGGGGACCCGGGGACCTGGGCAGCCCCCAGATACCACTGCCCCCACTCTGGGCAAGACCTCATCCTGGACCCTAACGACCCAGATGGGCAACAAGACCTCAGAGGGCTTGGGTCCCAAGGGGAGCTGCGGGTCAGCTCAACAGGCGCCCCCAGGACTGTCAGAGAGCAGACAGTGGGGGTGGGGGCGGGGCCTGGGGCCCTAAGGCCAGGA